TGTATATTATTTCGTATATTTTTCATTTTATGGAAAGCACTGTTCATTAAAATGTTGTATCTTATATTATAGGGCTTGTTTCTCTCTACAATTTCCTGTTTTACAATGAACCGTTTGTGTATCCGGGAAGGGTTCATAGTTTCATAGTTGTCGGTTTTCGAAAGAAATCAGTACATGTATATTATTTCGTATATTTTTCATTTTATTGATTTTATGGAAAGCACTGTTCATTAAAATGTTGTATCCTATGTTATAGGGTTTGTTTCTCCCTACCATCTCCTGTCTCACAATGTATCGTTTGTGTCCGGGAAGGGTTCATAGTTTGATAGTTGTTGATTTTCGAAAGAAATCAGTACATGTATATTATTTCGTATATTTTTCATTTTATTGATTTTACGGAAAGCACTGTTCATTAAAATGTTGTATCCTATGTTATAGGGCTTGTTTCTCTCTATAATTTCCTGTCTCACAATGTACCGTTTGTGTCCAGGAAGGGTTCATAGTTTCATAGTTGTCGATTTTCGAAAGAAATCAGTAGGTACATGTATATTATTTCGTATATTTTTCATTTTATTGATTTTACGGAAAGCACTGTTCATTAAAATGTTGTATCCTATGTTATAGGACTTGTTTCTCTCTACAATTTCCTGTTTCACAATGTACCGTTCGTGTCGGAGAAGGGATCATAGTTTCATAGTTGTCGATTTTCGAAAGAAATCAGTACATGTATAATTATTTCGTATATTTTTAATTTTATTAATTTTATGGAAAGCACTGTTCATTAAAATGTTGTATCCTATGTTATAGGGCTTTGAGGATCAGAAGAGGACCACAATAGATCTGAAAAAGTCGCAGTGGAACAAGCTGATTGCCACCTCGAAAAATCTAGTCTCATCTAATCTATTGAGGAACTGACACTCTCCAGGGCAAGAATATATTCGCAAGTGAGTGTCGAATGTCGATCGCTTTTTCATAAACCTCTCTCCACCGCTGCGTTACTTATTGATCTGAGAACACAATAGCGGGAATAAGTTAGGTGTGTCAACGACATTCCTCAGCCCAGTGGCCGTCGAAGTCGCAGTCTTGTATCGTGCAAAGTCACAAAAGAATCTTTGAAGGATTTATTAATTTTCGATTTTAAAAGCCTTGCCTCGGATCCTTGAACGTTTCAAATCCTTATTCAGACAGTACGAAACGCACTGTACACGTCAAATAAAATTCGTAGGCTAGACTCGACAGACAAATCATGAAAATAAATAAATGAAATGAATCTATAACACTCAAAGAATATAAGATTTAATGTAACAATATACAGGGTGGTCCGAACTGTATTCCGGAAACTTCGTTAGCATATTCTGCAGATAAAAATGACTAAGAAAGTTCGTAAAATGTATGTCCTAAAATGCTTAGTTTCGGAGATACAGGGTGTAGAAGTTTCATTTTTATTTTGATTTTTTCCAAATAATTTCCGAAGTTACGTCATTATTTGGATGAAAATTGGTGTCTTGGAGTTTTTTGACATGAGAAATTTGATTTTGATGTCGATAAGGTTCCTATTTGTAGGGGGCGCCACCTACATATTTTGTTTTAACTGTTTTGAAGACTAATAACTTTTCTCTCTCGTCTATCTATTATGGCTTCATCTATTATGTCAATTCTGTTTATATCTATTATGTCCTCCTTTCTTGAGTTATAACTCATTATACAGTCTCAGTGCTTTGACAAAAGCCAGTGTCTGAAACGGTCTCCATCTCCGATATCAGTCGTACCAAAGTATATGGCACGAATGGTTGTCAATGGTTGTCAGCGTATTCAGATGAGGTGTTCTGGTGTTTCCCTATTTTCCCCACAGAATCTGAATCTAAAATAAAATAATCAGCTTATCAAAATTCAAAAGAAGTTAGAAATAATAAAATATCAACCAACAAATATTGTGTTTCTTTAATAACATTCATGTCCTAATAGAGAAAAAATCTAAGCAACAGGAATTATTTTAATAAATCCGGTTTACAGATTATATACTAATGTTTGTTTAAAATAAATAATATGTATTTAAAAACTTAATTCTGTTTCCATCGTTTATTAAGAAATATCTTACATGATTTATTATGAAATATTATACATTATCGAGGATTATTTACATATTAAATCAGGTATTAAATTTATAAATTTTGCTTTTTTGTTTACATATTGGATTATTCCGTATATGTATATGTATATTAAAAAAAAGGTATGATTTTTGTTAAAAACCTGATTATAGTTTAATTTAATAATTAGGTACTATATGATGACGGTTTCTTAATGAGGTAAGAACAAAAAGCTTAAAATTTCAATATATGAAATATTTTGTTTTTTTACTAAAATTTTGTTGTATGGTGTTGTTGTTTGAAAAATCAAACAAACATAGCCATCTACAAATGTCCCAGCAATACATCTATCATATGGTCAAAAAAAAAACGGCGTAGCAAAAGATATGAAAAGAAGATCGCTGTCTTTTTATATCTAAAATTATATGGGGAATATCATACATCATCATTTCGAAGCCAAATGGAATAGTATTTATATTAGATTGGATCCTTATTGGATTAATAAAGTCTCTTTTATTTTTTGTTTGGTTTGGTTTGATTTGAAAAACTTGAAAAGAATCCATCTAGATGGAAAGGAAATACTGCCATCACGGGAAGTGAAATATCTAGGAATAACCCTGGATAGTAAACTTCTCTGGAACAGGCATATTAAGAACATGACCAGTAAAGCCACAAAGGCTCTCATGACATTCAGAAGACTGGCGGGAAATAGGTGGGGCTGCGCCCCTAAAATTTTGCGCTGGATGTATATCATGATAGTAAGACCCATGATTACATATGGAGCAGTTGCTCGGTATACAAAACTAGAGCAACGTACAGCAAGGCAAAACCTGTGCAAAGTACAGGGACTGGCATGTATCTATATCACAGGTGCTATGAGAACATGTCCAACAGCAGCAATGGAGGTCATTTTAGACCTAACACCACTGTACATTGTCGTCGGTAGTTATGCCAATGCGACAATGATTAGAATGGTCATTGACGGAAACAGTACTGGGAGAATTTTTAGGTCAGGGGCTTGGAACACCCTCAAAAAGAAAATTCCTCTTCTCCAACTCCCAGTGGATGACATACCAAGATTTTACAACTTTGTGAAACTTTTCCCTGTAGTATTGAGTAATAAAAAGGATTGGAAGGAAGAAACGCTTACTCAGCATATAAAAGACCATACCATAACGTGGTATACTGATGCTTCCAAAACCAAAGCAGGGACAGGGATAGGAGTATTTGGGCCGAAAACCAAATACTCCGAACCAATGGGCACCTACCCCAGTATCGTTCAGGCAGAAATTTACGCTATCGAAAGATGTGTACAATTTATCTTAGATAGGAACTATCAAAAACAGGAAATTGCCATGCTAATTCGAAGTTGGTCAAAGAATGCCTAGAGAAGCTCAACAAGTTGGGCAAAGAAAATAAAGTCCTCCTACTTTGGGTGCCTGCTCACCAAGGGATAGAAGGCAATGAAAAAGCAAATGATCTAGCTAGGAAAGGAGCGAATCTTCTGTTTTCCAAGCGGAAACCAACTGAAAGCGGAACTGAAGAATTTGGAAGACTCCAACCGCAACTTGGAATGGGTATCCTCCAACGGTGTAAAACACTCGAAAAAGTTCCTCAGAACCTACGACCGAGAAAAATCAAAGGTTTTCCTTGATTTAAGTAAAAACAATCTTCGGATTGTCACGGGGTTTCTAACAGGACACTGTCTCCTCAACGAACACCTCAGTAGGCTGAAGCTGAGAAACAACGGCGAATGCAGATTCTGTGGGGAATTTGGGGAAACACCAGAACACCTCATCACTGAGTGCGCCGAGACGACGACCATTCGTGCCATGAACTTTGGTACGGCTGATGTCAAGGATGGAGAGCTGGCCTCTGTGGAGCCGTCTCAAATACTGGCTTTTGTTAAAGCCTTGAGACTGTATGATGAGTTATAACTCAAGAAAGGGGAAAACACAATAGAGATCTATAAGGTCGAGGTGGCTAACTCCCCTCCTAAACATTCTACATTCTACGGTTACGCTGCCGCACAGTTTGGCTGCAACTGTAGCACGGGATGGCTATGGCACAGTGAGGACTGCGATGATAGTTCCCTTGTGCTACGTTCTCGGTCGGCTAGGAGTAGTTTACTACTCCTCTTCTCCAGAAAGGTGGTAGGTCTGAGGGTTGTATAAGGATATACCGCCTATACTCGGATGTCAGAGCCTCGTTTGTTTAAACAGGGTGCACCACGTGAAGGTGACGTTGACTTTTGGGTAAGCTAGGCTATATGTATCACTTCAAAATACCCCTTGCACCCCACCCCATAAACACCTCAGTAAATTGAAGCTTAGAAACAACGGCGAATGCAGATTCTGTGGGGAAAATGAGGAAACAACAGAATACCTCATCACTGAGTGCACCGAGACAACAACCATTCATAAACTTTGGTACGAGTATGAAGAGTTGTAACTCAAGAAAGGCCTCTAGATCAAAAAGGTCGCCGTGATTAGCAAAACAAATCCTCTCATACATTCTTCATGATCTGATGATCTGGGGGGCAAGTAGTAGTTAGGCCCTAATAGACCTTTTGTGCATCTTAAACTGAAAAAATGCATTGTCTGTGTAACAATACAACTGTTTTCAAGTCTCGAACCACTCTAAGAAGCACAAAAACAAGACAAGAAATGTCAAACTTGTCTCATAGTAATTTCCATAGCGTTGCGTATTTCCATATAAGCAATTAAATCGACATAAACTTGCAATTTCTTTGAATAGGTCATTAGGTACGACCATCATCACCACGCTATTTCCAAAAAACCCTCCGTATTCTCTCCGATTTTGAAAGCGAAAGCGTACCCTCACCACCACCTCTTCACTGCCAATCCTGCATCGGTACTTCTTCTATCTCCTGCTAAAACCAAGAGCGCCGAGCGGCGGTTCTTTCTCTCCCACAAGAGTCGGCGGTACTTCGTATTCGGCTTCGGTCTTTCGCGCTGTAAGTGACTCTTGTGAAAGGTGCGTGACCATACGCCATTGAGGGTGCGCTTGGTACTGCTATCTGACGACGGTACCACCCTCGAGGTACTACGACTCTTTTGTTTTGAATTTCTCCAATCTCTTCGTTACTTCGTCTCGGTTGATTTATAGGTGTGGACTAAAACGCTTCTACCGAGATGAATACTGCCTGGATTTTTATGTAAGTACTTTGTCGTTGTTATATGAAGATTTTTTGTTAATAATTATTCAGAGAAAGGCGTTAGGTGTTGCTATACGAGTAAAAGGCTGTGTATTATGTTTATTACTATGTGTATTTAAGTAAATTTGTCTCGCGTGTTATGTTGTAACAGTTTTAATGTATCCAAGGAATTCTGTATTGCGAATTTTGATTATGTCTTGTTACCGACCAGTAAGAGGTATTGCCGTATTGTTTTTATTATTATTGGTATCCGCGTAATATTTTGTAACGGTTGGTTTTAATGTAGTAACATAGTAAGAAGAAAAAATGTGTTGCTGCTGTTTCAATATGCTACAGTTAGTTAGTGTTTAGTCGAATTAAAAAGTCAAGGATAAAATAAACATTTCTTTTTGAAGAATGGTTCGATTTTACGTATTCTTTGGTTATTTTTTTAATAATTATACATTTTTATTAGAAACAAATTGTGTCGTTTCATGATTATAGAAACATGAATAAACAATAAAACGATTTTTTCATTGAAACATTGCATTGAGATGAAAGAATCATATGGAGATGGAGAGTTTCAATATGTTAAAGTTTAGTATGGACCTTTTTTATCATTCAAATTTCAAGGACAGACGCTCGTAAGAATTTGATAAATAATTTTAGTCCTGAAGAACTACAGGGACAAATTAAATAACTAAATACAGCTAGCAATAAAGTAGGTCTAAAAATGAATTTAACAAAAACTAAAGAAATGTACAACGAAGAAGTTGAAGTTGAAGAAAATGAAAGAAATTTTTAAAAGCCTTGAATCTTCCTGAGACTAAAAGAAAATGTGATCAAAAAGCTTTATGATCCAAGGTGCTGTGAGTAATAACAGATAAATAATTCTTTCAAACCAAAGTAAACAAATATTTTTTTAATATTATATGATGTGCTGAATAATAAAAAAGTAATACTAGAGACGAAAGATATCTCGGTTTTGACAGTTTTCTTTGACATTTCCTTTGATAAATTTGAATTTTTGAGACTTTTTTTGAGGTTTTAGTTTATCGTGTAATCGGTTTTATGTATAGTGTATAGATCTGGAAAAACGTTGTTTCTGAACTTGACTACAGTAAGATTATGGAAATCTTGCCAACCGTTTATCTGCCTTTTCGTTAATCTTGTGACCCTCGTGTCCAGGTACTTAGGTTAACGTAACATTGCTAATTGCGACGATTTTACAGCGGATAGTTCTCGATCTCCAATATCAATCTTACCAAAGTTATGGCATGAATACTCAGTGCAGGACTTTATTTTGCCTAATTTGTTGAGCTTCTCTGGGCATTCTTTGACCAACTTCGAACTGATGGTTACTGAGTTGATCGCTTTTAAGACACAAGGATTCAATTGCGGAAATTTTGTTTGGCTAATTTATAGCTCATACCCAACGCTGACAGGATCAGGGTTGGGTAGTCCAAGCAGACACACTCTCAATAATAATTTATGTAAGCGAAAAAACCTTTCTAAAACCCGGCAATTTTCCAGTTATTTGTTCTACCGACATAATAGCAAACACAATAATTTTTTGTCTTCTCAAAGCTGCTGTAGTGTATTTTGTAACAACGCAAACGTTTACGCTATGTCCCTGATCTAATCGACGCCACCAATTATTATAATTTGTCTTTGTGTTATAATTTCAATATTCTCGACATTTCTCAAGTTCCTGAAAGTTTATAAACGGCTGTTGTGTTTTTCTTTTTTCGTTATTTTGCAAGAAGGTGCATGGTGTTGCACATTTGTGGCGATATTTGTTTAATCTTGACCTTATTTGATATGTCCATACGATTTATTTTCAGATAATATGTGTTTTATAACGTTACTAGCGTGTACCAGCGACTTCCTTCGCGTCATATTAATCATTTGTAATGGTGATGATAAAGCAAAGGAAGAATTGCCATTAACATACAAACTGGATAAAATTTTCTCACATTTATGTCAGCATAAGAAAAAACAACATGGCGATATTATTGTATAACTTGGTAATATTTGAGGGGTAGTTTCATCTTGTTGGAATTTGACTTTCGAAAAATCCGTTTGCCAAAAATAAGTTTTTTACGTCAAGCAGTTTAATCAGAATCGTGTTTTTTTTTTAAAATTCAAAATATGTAAAAAAAAAACAAATAAATTATGCTTGTCCAAGCGTTTTCCCGAAAGACTAACCGTTTTTTAAATAACAAATATTGTAATATTTGAGGGGCGTTTTCACTCTCTTGGAATTTGAGATTCGAGAAACCCCTCCTTATCGAACCTCTACACCCCACAGTCAATCCGTTTGCCAAAAATCAGCTTTAAACGTCAAGCAGTTTAAGCAGAATCGTGATTACTCAATGGTCATATTTTATGAAGCACCCTGTATAAATTTATAAAAAATCTTAAATTAAAAATTTTTCCGAAAAACTCACCGGTTTCTAAATAAAAAATATTTTAATATTTGAGGGATAGTTTCACCCCCTTAGAATTCGAGTTTCGGAAAATCCCTTCTTATCGAACCTCTACACCCTAAAGTCAATCTGTTTTCCAAAAATCAGCTTTTTACGTCAAGCGCTTTAAGTAGGATCGTGATTAATCAATGATCAGATTTTTCGAAACACTCTGTATACATTTTTAAAAAATCTTAAAATATGTAAAAAAACAAAATAAAACATACGTGTTTAAGCTTTTTTTCGGAAAATTGGCCGTTTTTTAAATAAAAAATATTGTAATATTTGAGGGGTGGTTTCACCCTCTTGGAACTGGAATTTCGAAAAATCCCTTCTTATCGAATCTCTACACCCTAGAATCAACCTGTATGCCAAAATTGAGCTTCTTACGTTGAGTGGTTTGAGCAGGATCGTGATTAATCAGTATGTCAGTCACTTAAGGATTTTATATATTAGTATAGATATTATACAGGGTGTACAGGGTTTCTGATTGCATTAATTTTTCGTCAAATGTTTGATTTTAAATCCCATTTTAAATGAACTTTGTGGCAATATTTTATGGTTTCTGTAGATGGGAAATCCCATTTCAAGAAGATTTACTGTTTTGATGATATATAATATAAAATCTTTTACAGTTATTACCGGTAAAGGTCAGATGGATATGATAATTTTCGACTACCTTGACTTTTGAAAGGAAATATTAAAGATAATGCGCTTTTAAATATCATCCGCATATTTTTACCCGAAATATTATTAGAATTTAAATGTATACATATACTCAGAATTTTCTGGAAAATCATTTAAAATTGATTTTGAAATAATTGTTCAATGTTTAACAGCAATTAGATTAAACAAGAAAGAAAACTCAGAAAAGATCCAGCAGTTCCCAAAATTTAAGCAATTTTTTTTGGGAAATTTTCAAAGTAAAATAACTCGAGATCTACCAGCCCTGAAAATACACACACCGGAAAAGTCTAGGGATATTACATTTTATCCAGCCATCGTCAGTAATTTTATTATTTGCATTGGAAATAAAAATGCGAAATTTACCGAATTTTTCAAATTTACCTTGATTTTTATTGAACTCCAAAAAAATACACACATTTTTTTTATTCTAAACTGTGAATTAAAAAAAAAAGATAAAACCATTTTTACTTAATAAAGGGTATGGCCTCCTCTACTGTTCATTATAGCCCTACATCGTCTCTCCATGCTCCTGATCAGGTTGTCGATCTCTTCTTGAGGTACAGCATGCCACGCTGCATTCACGGCCCGAACCAGATCCCTACGAGTTTCACGAGGCATATCCATTCTCAAAATTCTTCTTTGGACCGCGTCCCATACGTGCTCGATGGGGTTGAGGTCAGGAGATTGTGCCGGCCAGGGTAAGATGTTTAATTGATGAGCATTTATAAATTCACTTACCGCTCTGGCTGTATGAGGCCGTGCATTGTCATGCATGAGAATCAAGTTTCTCCCAAAATCATTGGCATATGGTAACACGACAGGCTCAAGAATTATATCACGATATGTGATTCCTGTTAGAAACCTTTCAAGAGAAACGAGATCGGTTTTTCGGCCTAACTGGACTCCTCCCCAGACCATAACTGTTCCACCTTGATAAGGGTGCACTTCCTGAACATGATCCAACCGAATAAGATTTCCCGGTCTTTCTCCATACCCTAAGCCTTCTCGAATCAAAGCGTGACTCATCCGTGAAGAGAACATTGGCCCATTGTTCATTCGACCACTGAACATGATCTTGAGCCCACAAATATCGTAACTCTCGATTTCCTCTCGTTAAGGGTTGAGCTCTCCAGGGGCGTCTGCTTCTTAAATTGACCTCTCTTAATCTATTGCGAACAGTGTCAGGACTAACGGTTACATTATGTGTTTCCTGGAGAATTAAACTAAGCTCTGGTGCCGTAACAGTCGGTCGGCGTCGAGCATTTAATTGTAAAAAATGATCTTGCTGAGGGGTAGTAATGCGATGTCGCCCTGTGTGCCTTTCAGCAACATCACCACTTTCACGGTAGCGTACACTTAATTGCGATATTACACTTTGCGTTGTATTTAATGCTCTACCTACGTCGATTTGGCGCATTCCAGCTTCGAGCATACCCATGATCAGGGTTCGGAAGTAGTTAATTAAGACGTAATTTACCTGATTAAATGTCGTTTAATACTAAACTAGAGTTATTTGAATGAATTAACTACATGAAAACTACGTTAGTAAACTATGTATTGATATTATGAATAATTTTTCCTTTGTATGAGGTGTAATAGAGATAATATGATGTAAATATTATATTTAAAACCATATTTCTCCTGTTTTCTTAAATACATTATGTGTTTTTAAAGCTTCAACTTATTATAACCTCACCTAAAACCTTTGACATTTGAAAGTTACATACATAAGTTACATAAACTACACCCTCTACATAAACTACATTAACTACATGTCATGTAGTTTATGTAGTTTTTCAAAGTAACATGTAGTTTTCCGAACCCTGCCCATGATCCTTAGCATGTCGTCTCTGTTAAGATGTCGAC